AGGCACAAGAATAACATTTGAAAAATCTCCCTTTACACATTTAGACAGACATATGTGTTCTTCATTTTGACATTCATGCTTTAGAGGGGGCACAAAAGTTACCTAAGAAAGCGAAACATTGGGGGGCGGAGCCAAGATGGAGGAGCAAAAACAGTGACTTCCTTGAGCTTTCCCCTAAACTCCTCCAGACACCTTTAAAAAAGGCTCTAAATTCTAGAGCAGCAGAACCCACAAAAAGACAGAGTGAAATGAATTTCCAGGCCCAGACAACCTGGATGGTTCATGGGAAAGGTCTTTTGTGTAGGGCTGGGAGAGGAGCACAGTTCAGTATGGGCCTCAGAGGCAAAGATGTCCCTCAGCAAACCCAGAGCAGGCCTCATCAGGGGACTGAATCAAGGGCAGCTGTGGCAGTTTCCACACTTCTCAACCCACAAATGCCAAAGACAAATTAGAAGGTCAGTAGGAAAGGTCTGTTGGACCTGGTTCTGGTCCCAGCCCTAGCACAGCTCCTGGGCATCAGCCATAGCAACAGCAGCTACTTCTGGAGCTTTCAGCCCACAGACAGTGGGTGGATCAAGTGACGATCAGAGGGAGATTGCAGGGATCTCTTTGCTGGTGCTGAGGCAGGATTCTCTTGCTTTGTCCCTGCTTGGATCTGGATCACAGTTCTGGGTGGCAATCCTGGGGCAAGGAGGAGAGCTGACATGGTGGAGCTTGAGGCTGCAGTTCCTCACAGTTCCAAGGGAGAAAAGAGTGCTTGTGGTCACTCATAGATGAGAGCCCAGGCTTGGCAAGGAGAGAACACCTTGCCTTTGAGCCTACCACCTTGGAAGAACTGAAAGTTTACAGGTCCCTAGAAGTATCTCTGAAAATACTTGCATTAAACTCCTAAAGCATGGGACAGTGTGCTCTCCACACTGGAAGTAGAGCTCTACCTTAATAAAGAATTAAAAACTCAAGTAATTGACTGGAAACATAAGCAAATAGCAGAATAAAACTCAGATTGTAGAATCTTACTTTGGTGACAAAGAAGATTAAAACATACAACCACAAGAAGACAACAAAGTCAAAGCTCCTATATCCAAAGCCTCCAAGAAAAATATAAATTGGTCTCAGGCCACGGAATAGCTCAAAAAGGATTTTGAAATGCAAGTAAAAGGAGAGGGAAAATTGGGGAAAGAAATGAGAGTAATGCAAAGAAATCATGAAAAATGAGTTAACAGCTTGCTAAAGGAGATGCACAAATACTGAACAAAATGAGACCTTAAAACAATAGCCTAACACAAATGGCAAAAGAGGTCCAAAAAGCCAATGAGGAGAAGAATGCCTTAAAAAGCAGAATTGGCCAAATGGAGAGGGAGTTTCAAAAGCTCACTGAAGAAAATATTTCCTTAAAAATTAGAATGGAGCAAATGGAAGCTAATGAATTTATGAGAAAACAAGACATTGTAAAACAGAGCCAAAAGAATGAAAAATGGAAGACAATGTAAAATAGCTCACTGGAAAAACAACTGACATGGAAAGAAGATCCAGGAGAGATAATTTAAAAATTACTGGACTACCTGAAAGCCATGATTAAAAAAAGAGCCTAAACATCATTTCCTTATTAGATAAATTCCAGAGTTCCCAGGCTAAGGAGAAAATATTGCAAGCAGCCAGAAACATTAAGATATTGTGGAAACACAATCAGGATAACACAAGATTTAGTAGCATCTACATTAAGGAATCAGAGGGTTGAAATATGATATTCTGGAGGTCAAAGGAGCTAGGATTCTAACCAAGAATCACCTACCCGGCAAAACTGAGTATGATCTTTCAGAGGAAAAAGTAGACATTCAGTGAAATAGAGGACTTTCAAGCATTCTTGATAGAAAGACCAGAACTGAATAGAAAATTTGACTTTCAAATACAAGACTCAAGAGAAACATGAAGAGGTAAACAGGAAAGAGAAACATAAGGGACTTATTAAAGTTGAACTGATTATATTCCTACACAAAAAGATGATATTTGTAACTCATGAGACCTTTTTCAGTATTAGGGTAATTAGATTGGGAAAATATATGTAGATAGATAAATAGATAGATAGATAGATAGATAGATAGATAGATAGATAGATAGATAGATAGATAGAGATAGAGGGCATAGGGTGAGTTGAAGATGAAGGGGTAATATCTAATAAGTAAAATTAAGGGGTGAGAGAGGACTATACTGTGAGAAGGAGAAAGAGAGAGGCAGAATGGGCTAAATTATCTCACATAAAACAAACAAGAAAAGGCTTTTACAATGGAGGAGAAGTGGGGGAAGGTGGGAGAGAATGAATGAATCTTATTCTCATCAGATGTGGTTTAAGGAGGGGGTACCATACATGCTAAATTGGGTATGAAAATCTATCTTACCCTACAGGAAAATGGGGGGAAGTGTATGGGGGGGAGGAGAAGGGGGAGGGCAGATTGGGGGAGAGGGTGATCAGAAGCAAACGTTTCTGAGGAGGGACATAAGTTTTTGAATTTTATATTTTTTCTCCCTCCATTCCTCCCTTCCCAAGACATCACACAATTTGATATAGGCTATACATATACATTCCTATTAAACATATTTTCACATTAGTGATATTGTAAGGAAGAATTAGAACCAATAGGAAGAACCACAAGAAAAGAAAAGAAAACAAAATAAAACAGAAGAAAAAAATAGCAAATAGTATACTGTGATCTGCATTCAAACTCCATAGTTCTTTCTTTGGATGTGGATAGCATTTTCCATCATGAGACCTTTATAAATGCCTTAAATCCTTGCATTGCTGAGAAGGTCAAAGTCTATCAGTGTTAGTCATTGCACATCATGGCTGTTACTGTGTACAACATTCTCCTGGCTCTGCTCACTTTATTTAGCATCAGTGATTTATCTTTTTGCTCTACATTTCTAACTGAGAAAGGAACATTTAAAGTAACAATCTATATTTTTAAAAATATTTTCATTTATCCTTAATCAATATCCTTAATTTGTCCTTAATTACTATACCATATAATGAATGTATGTTTCACACTCAAATTGTTTAATTGTCTATTTCTTTAAGCATAATAGTTTCCTTATTTATCTTCACTGAGATTGTGAGTTGTGTTTTTTTTTTTTTTGGTGTAATATGCAAGTCCTGCTTTTATGTAGATTCACCTGATTTGCAGTAAATTTTGTTCTAGTCTATCAGTCTATCATATTGATTCATTCATTATATGTCTTTTTTATTCCTTTCTTGAATTCAACACGTTATGTTTTTCCCCTCATCCATTTTGTCATTTACTTTCATTTATTGAATTGTTTCTTCTATTTTTATATAAGTTTATAAATTTTAGATCTCTGTTTTTCTTAATTTTTTTAATTTTCACATTGCTTTTTAGATTTATTTATATCATCCTGATCTTAAGTTACTACTTCATTCCTATGCTTAATTTTTCTTGTAATACTTTGCTGATTTTCTATTTCCACAACACCTTTACTCACTTCTTTATGTTTATCATTGCCCTAGTTCTTAAATGTTGCTTAAATTATTGATATCTAAGTTCTAAAAAATATATACTAGCCATGTTGTCCGTGAAAATTTTGCAGTTCTTGTGAAATGAGGAAGTCACTTAATTTCTCTGAGTTTCAGCATGTAGTTCAGTCATTTTCAGTCATGTCTGATTCTTGTGACCACATTTGATGTTTCCTTGACAAAGATACTAGAGTGGCTTACTATTTCTTTCTCCAGTTCATTTTTACAGATGAGAAAATATATTGTACTATAGAAATGTATCATGTGTAATTTTTATAGAAACTATGGGGGAATTAGAAAAAAGAATCCATTGTTACTTAACAACAACAAAAACAATTCGTTGATGTAGGTACTGCCTTAATTCCATAATCAATACATTTGTTCTTGCCTTACTGTTGTAAAAAACAATCATCTGGTGGCCAACTTTCTAGTGTTTGGACACTCTGAAATTAAGCAGGCTAATCCTAGAACAATACTCCATTGCTATGTTTACATTCAAAAATTTTCCAATTTAGGAACTTATGAGAACTGGCACTAATCTGACATTCCTTGAAGAATCCAGGCTTACCTTCACATCATGCTGAAGATTCAATAGAGGAGTTGGGAAAAAAAATTAGAGTTAGTACAAGACATTTTACATTAAACTTCAGCAGTGTTATGGGATTTACTTTAAATTAACATCCAAGTATTGCCATTTTGGTGGAAATGTTTAGTTAGGTGTCAGGTAATATAGGAAACGTTTTCTCAGAAGATTCAGCTTATGTTGTGATAAAATGTCATATATTAAATTGTCTTAGTGTAAATGCTATGTTCTATTTGGGGGTCTGACTGACAGTATATAGATGGACATATTTTATCCTCCAGTGTTTAGGTTGCTTATTTCCTCAGCAATCGTAAGAGTCAAACATAACAGAACAGTGGGTGGCTTAGAAAAAAATAAATTAAAACACCAGGTGTTTTTACTTTATTTTATACTTAAAAATTTAAAGTTAACTACAACGTTGCTTTTGATATTCTATACATTGTAGTATTTATAAGCAGTTTTATCTGTTTACATGACTTTTATAAATGGCTCTGGTTCCTTAACCAAAGGACCATAGAAAAATGATGGTAGAAAGGACAATGGAGATCTCCTGGTCCAACCCATCATTTTACAGAAAAGAAAGGTAAGAATCAGAAGATAAAGTAGCTAGCCCAACAACTCTCAGGAAGCACAAATAAATCCTGTTGTATTATTTCCAAGTGAACTTTTGAAATGAGGCAGTATTTAATATTAAAGGTAATTACACTTACAAAAAGGCATTTGGTAGACATTCTTTACAGCACGTTCTCTGAATTGTCAGAGAAGTATTTGCAGCATAAGCATTGACAATATTTGTTCCCTTTGTGCATATCATTTCCAGAAACATTATTGAAGTCCATGTGCCATCTTTTCTTTGTCTTTCTAGACTTTGATTTCTTTTTTTTTTTACAGATTAAAAAAATCAACAGGAACTTCCCTGTAAACCAGCAGGTAAGATGAAAAAATACTTGGAAAATCTGGGGTATTTGCTTAATATGCATATGATGTAATGTAATTGTAATGTATGTAATTTATTGTAAAAAAAAAGGTGGTTGATTTTTCCATCTCTTGGCTTGCAAGATATTCTTTTTTTTTTTCCTGTTAGACATACTTATCCATTATATTAAATATTTGTATACTTGCAACAAATATTAGGGACTAAATTTTTTGAAATGTAAAGTTGGCTTATGTTTAGACATCACAAAATTGGATTTGATCTAGATTTATGTGCAGTTAGGATTCTCTTCCTTTATATTCAAATAGGGAACCTCAAATATAAGAACTTTGAATTAGTAATTCAGATAATCCTTCTTTGAGCATGTTCTTCATTTTAAATGTTGCTGAAGTTAATGTCTTGAAGGAAAATTCAAGATCTATAATCATGGTTTTATAGAAACCTGGAGCTAAACGGGAAATCAGAGCACATAGCCCCATATACTCCTGAGTAAAATTCCTTCTCCTAATCTCAAACAAATCAAATTCTAGACCTCACATGAATAATTCTCTTGAGGGAGATCATGCTTCCTCTGTAAGTAGTCTATTTTGCTTATAACTAACTGTAATTGTTAGGATCCTTCATTGTTTCAAGCTGGTAAAGCTTAAAATTGCAAGTTTTGGGGGATATACTGTAGTTAGCCTAAATCTATTCCTCTGCAAATATCACTTATTGTTCCAAATTTTTCTTCAGTATAACCGTTCTTCAGATACTCAGAGCTTGTTTTGCTCTCCCAACTCTTTATCTTCCCAAAGCTAAACATATCCAGTCATCAATCCTTGTCATCTACCCAAACAATTTTTTAAAATTTGTTGCACTTAACTGGAGACTTCAGTTTGACAGCAATTTATTAATCAACACTATCTGGTTATGGTTATCCAGGCCAATCCAAGTCACCTAATTCTAATCTTCTTCCTCACTCATTGTGAACCTGTGGACCATATCATGCCTAAACAGTCTATGGGGTTATCTTGGAAAAGACAGTGGAGTAGTTTGCTATTTCCTTCTTCAGTGAATCAAGGCAAACAGAAGTTGAATAACTTGCCCAGGGTTACAAAGCTAATAAATCTCTGAGGTCAGATTTGAACTCAGATCTTCCTCACTCCAAGGTAAGTGCTCTCTGCTAAGCTACCTAGCTGCCTCAAATTTAGTCTAATACACATCAATCCATTTATTTCTGAAGTCCTAATTGATCAATCTAGATGACACAAATAAAATATAAATGAGGTTAGTGTTGTAATGTGATGATGAACCCATCTAGATTATAGTGTTCTCCCTTTCTGAGTACATACAAATATTCCTTTGAAAAATATGGTCTAGGGGTCAGCTAGGTGGCACAGTGAATAGAGCACTGATCTGAAGCCAGGAGGACCTGAGTTCAAATCCAGCCTCAGACCGAACACTTGACACTTACTAGCTGTGTGACCTTGGGCAAGTCACTTAACCCCAATTGCCTAGATAGATAGATAGATAGATAGATATGTTCTAGAATCTTGTAATCTGGTCCAGTTCACTGATGTTAATTTCCTGACCTTTCTCTTTTTAAAACTTAAAGTATTTGCCAGTGAGTAAGCTCCTTGAAGGTTAGGGAAGCTTTCTTTTTTCGTTATTTTGTGATTAGTAAATGCAAATAACAGATTTTATTTTTTTTAAATGAATTGTTTTTGTCTGTATGAGTCCAGAGCCCAGTGCCCTGTGCCACAGGTTATAGTAGTAAATATTGTGCATTTTACTACAAACATCTAACATATCTCTGATACAACTTCATTTCATAATGAAATGATTATCATAAGATAGCAACTGAAATTTTAAGTCTTTGCCAGAGTGTTAACTAGTACAGATGTACAACTAACTGATGATTAAGAACAAAGGTTTACATATGAAACAATTGGAATCTCTCAGTATTTTTAAAAGTTTAAGTTTATTTTAATAACTATGACTTATTAAGTAAACACAATCTAAGTTTTATTTACTGTAAGAATGATAAAAATAACTTCCCATTTCTCAGCAAGCAAGTACATTAGTATCCTTGAGCTTTTGCTTCATTAACCTTCTGGCTTATTGTTTAGTTTGGTATTTGATTCTTGTCCCTTAGAGTCCTACTAGCTTAAAAATCATAATTTTTTGCTGGATATGTTGAAAGTTTGAGAGCCTAAAATTAATAGCGTTTTCCTTAATTAGTTTCCATTACAACAATCTAAAATAATAAGCAAGAGATTTTCAGGAATGTCAGCCAACACTGTAAGATTTTTTTGAAGGTACCATAGATTAGCAAACAATAGACTAACTTAAAAACAAACAAACAAACTCGTAATTGAAGAAGAAAAAAAAAAGCAAAACTACAAACTATAGGAATATAACAAGCCTACAGTTACCCAGAACAGCATATGAGTTCAGGTTTTGTTTTGTTTTGATTAGCTTTTACTTAATAGACTGTCCAAAAAAAGTGACATTTCAGGAAGGAACTGGAAAAAAATACACATACATTCTCCATTGTGGGATTTAGGGCTCAGAATAAGTATTTGACTGGATACATGCCTTGGGCCATAGAAATGTTCAGTTGTTTCCATAGCAGATGTTTCTTCTATAGTGATTAGAATTTAGAATTTTTGAAGCTTGGAATGATTTTTACAAAAGTAAAGATTGATTTACCAAATGTATGAAAAGTGTCCAATATAGGATGAATGGCTAAATGCCATTACCTTTACTTATTGACTATATTTGTAATTATGGATCATATGTAATCACCACTACCTTTTTCCCCATGTCTTTTAAATAAATTTAACATAGACTTATTGAATTACAAATGTGACCACTTAAGTCATTTATTATTAAAGAAGGTTATAATTGTTGTTATTGTTTTTGTTCCTCTAGATATGTATATGCTATATGTTTTTAATCAAAACATTAAAATGATAATGTGTACTATCAAAATATTTTGATGCAACAAATTTAAAATATACCCATAAAATTAATTCATAATAATATTTATATATATTTAATATAATGGACTTTTTAAAAACAATTTTTCAAGGCAATATTTTCTGACTAAAATATTTCATTTATTTTTTAAATCTTTGAGGTTGTCACTATATTGAGTCCTGGAAATATATTAATATAATATTTAACTAGGGAATGAACATTAAATTAGTTATTTAAAGTATTGTGTTTCAGGACGTAGACATATAATGCAAAAGTGATTATTTGATGAAAATCCAAACTGACAGATAACTTTTAGATATATCTCATTTTTAACTACTGTCTAAAAAGAAAAATGAGGGTGGAGATAGAGTGGTGAGGAAAGAATGAATCCCCACAATTTCATGATTATTTTTGCTATGGAAGGCCTGGCACTGTCTCATTTACTATTGCTTCTAAGTGGTGGGGTAGAGCATGGAGAGTATGAACCACTCCATCTAAAGGGTAGGACCTAGAGAAGGTAGCAGGAAAGGACTGAAATATTAACGAAGAAATGAAGTAGTATGCTTTCCAAGTTTGAAAAGTAGCACATATAGTGACAGATGATTGAATATAGGTACAATGAGCCAAGAAAGAATGAGTGGAGGAATTCTAACTCATTAGAAAAATGGGTTCCAGGAAACATGGTAAATTTTAAAAGGGGGAAAATAGATTCCATTGAACATGCAAACAACTGAATTACACTTTGTTTGCTTAGTGACTGCTGAGGGCCATCTGCTTTTCAAAGATCTTCCCTCCTATTGGAGTCCAAAGCAGTCCCCTTATTTGTCATTTTCTGAGTTATCATTAAGTGATGAAATTTATATGAATATCAATATCAAACAATTACAAAATTATGTCATTATGTGTGATATAAATACTTGGGAATGAACGATACTCTCAAGAGAAAACTGGATTATATCCAACTCCACAAAGATTATGATTCAACTATGTATTAGGCAACATGTGGATGTAGCAATGAAAGACAAAATGGTCTTTGCCCTGAAAGAACTTGCAGTACATTGTGGTTGTCTTTTCGAGCTTCAGCTCGCTGTTGTGCAATTGTTTTCAATCGTCTGACTCTTTGTGAACCCACTTGGTGTTTCTCTTGGCAAAGACACTGAAGCGGTTTGCTATCTCCTTCTCCAGATTATTTTACAGATGAAGAATTGAGGCAAACAGGGTTAAGTGACTTTCCCAGGATCTCATAGCTAGTAAGTGTCTGAGGCTAGATTTACACTCAAGAAGATAAGTCTTCATGACTTTGGGCTCAGCACTTTATCGGCTATGCCATTTAGCTGCCCCACCATACATTGGGTGGGTGGGGATATGTCATAAATATAAAAATTTAATGCAAGGAGAGGTCCAGAGAAAATTTTTTAAGAAAGTTTGAAAAAAAAAGTAAAGACTACTTTCAATAAGACGGGTTGGAAAATAGTTTTTTGAGGAGGTAACACATAACTAGGCCTTCAAGAAAGTCCAATGGGGAGAGATAATGAAGGGTTGTATTCTAGACAAGGTGATACCTTTATCAATGAATGGAGATAAAAAATGATTGAATGAGATAGGGGAATAGATTTAAATCATATTTAACTAGGACATAGCATGGAGGGGAGTAATGTAAAATAATACTGGAAAGGTTAAAAAACCCAGACTTCCAGAGGAAGGAGTTTGTATTTTCTATAGGAAACAGAACTTCTAAGGAGTGGAAGGAAACAGAATGGGATTATTGAAAGTAATGAATAATTTGATAAATATTGTCTGGTATGATCTCCCTCCTAGTCGGTTCTAAGCTATTTCCTTTTCACATATTATCTGTTCAGGACAAATCTGTATGCTGATAGATAAATAGATAATATATATATAGAGAGAGAGTCATAAAGATATGTATGTATGTATGTATGTATGTATGTATCTATCTATCTATCTATCTATCTATCTATACTCCATTACTCTTTTTCTTTGTTATCCCTCTATAGACAATCAATCTCTCTTTAAA